ATTAATGATGGACGTTCATCAGCTGTAATATAAGTTCCACGATGATTTTTCATTGATACAACAAGATCAACATTAAATACTGGATTATTTGTACCTAAGATTTCTGGTTGATAAATTTCAATAAGATAATAACCATCACCCCATGTAAGTACTGTTCCTGTACTTGAACGTAAACCATTCACCAATGGTGAAGATTTTTCTTCAGTTGCACGACGTACTTTTTTATTATTTGTACTACTTTGAAGTTGTTTTTCTCGTGTTTTAATCGCTTCTTCTTTTGATATTTTCGGTTTTTTAATATCCGAATATTCTTCAATATATAAATGTGCACCAGAATAATCACAATCTGATTGTGAAGCTGTAAATGTTCTTTGTTCCATTTCATTCCATATTTGATCATAATATGCTTGTGAAAGACTTTTTTGAGCATTTTTATCTTCCTGAGCTATATTCATTAATGTATCCGATTGTAATGGTAAACATCCAACAACACGACCAATTCGACCACGAATTTTAATAGTTACATCTTTAGGTGCTTTATTAAATTTATATGATTTCTTTTTAACTTGATCTAAAACTACGCTAACATTTGTTGTTGATTCATGACAAAGAATTTGTAATTGAATTTGAGTATTATTTGATAAAAATCGATCAATTAATGGTGTAGGTTCATTTGGTGACCAACTTAATGTAACAATTCCATCGACAAGAGTTGCCAAAGAATAAGTTACAATATTCAATAATAATAAACTGATTAGAAGATATTTTTTCATTAGAATTAATCTGAAAGAGTGAAAAATATTTGACATGTAAAAATAAATATTTTGAAGGTTGTTTATTTTTTAAAATATTTTAGTTTTTCTAAATATATTTGGTCGAATAAATGAGTAACGTCTAATATTTTGTATAAATATATGAATGAATAGTTTAGAATTGAAATATTTCTTAATAAATAAATTTCTTTGTTTTATAATAATAAGATTTATTTTATGAACTTTTCTTTTTTTAGATTTTAACCTGAATATTAATCAATGTTATGTTAGTAAAAACAAATGAAAAGAAGAAGAAGGTCGATAGAATTAATTTCATTGGTTAGTTTTAATAAACCAATGAAAATCTAGATGATGTCGCCATTATTATTTTTGTTTATTTTTTATTTTTCTAGACTACTGTCGTTTTTGTAAATAGGTGTCAGTTATAGAAATTGTTCTGAACATTTTATTTTAGATATATCGATACAAAAAGTATCCTTAATTAAAGAAGGATGAATAGTCTTCTCCTTCGAAATGTAAAACTGACTCAACCTCAAGTAGCTTCAATGCTACAATATCAATGTCGAGTCGATGCTTCAACTGCATCATCATCATCAGCAAGTACTAGTAGTGTTGTACAAAATAATCCAGTTGTATTAGATAATCGAAAACCAGCACCACAATTAGATGCTGATCGTATGCGTATGCATCCACGTATTGGTAATCGAGAAATAGTTGGTTATGGTTTAAAAGGAAAACCAGAATATTTTGATTTGGTTATGTTTCCTTGTCCAAGTATTCGTTGGGAAGCTGATACACCAGCAATTGCTGAATTAAGAAAGAAAGAAAAAGGTGATTGGAAACAATTATCAGTTGAAGATAAAAAACGATGTAAGTCTAGATTAATTATTTATTTCTTTATCTATAATTTTCTTTTATATTTAGTATATCGATCAAGTTTTCGTCAAACATTTGAAGAATTTACTGCTCCAACTGGTATTTGGAAATGGGCAATTGGATGGACTTTACTTTCTATAGCAGGTGCAACTTTAGCTTATGATGGATGGCGACGTATCTGTACGTAATCATTTTCTTTCTAGTAGTTTGACATTTACAATAAAAAATTTGAAATCATTTCAGGTTATCGTTTTGATGGACCAGATAGTATGAAAGACGCAAAATTGAAGAAACAATTAGAATATCATATTGCTGCTCGACAAGGTCCTATGACAGGCTTAGCATCTAAATGGGATTATGAAACAGGTTTATTATATTTTTGTTTTTAATTTCTATAATATATTTTTTTAAATTTAGGTACATGGAAAAAATAAAAGAAGAATAATACCAATTCAATTCGTTTAAACTGTAGAATTGACTTTATCTTTTTTTTGTTTTTTGTACCAACAATGATACATATTTCCTGTCATTTGTCCTTAACTTTCCTAGTAGTTTATATTGTTGTCCACTATGATTATTTTTCCTTACAAAAAAAACGAATAAACGTTACAGTAATTCGTACCAAAACTAATATTAGAACATTTCACTATATTTTGAAGCTAAACAATATTTCTAATATTCATTTGCATTTAAATTCATGCTTATTATATATCAGCTAATAAAAGCCAACATACCTTTTTTGTATTATCTAGTATTGTGCTGAGAGATGAATTTATTAAAGATATGATAAGTATGCAAACAATTCAAAAGAATATTTTAATGTTAATAGAATTCTCATATATAAGTTAATGCATCAATAACAGGAAAAAGAATTACATTTATTCTACTGATTAATTTATTTAAAAATATTATTATTAATGTAAATATAACAAATAATTTATTTCGAATCATATCCAAAATTTTACTGAATATTATCAAACACATGCAAACTAATGAATGAATATAAGTTAGAACAAATACAAGGAAACGACAGTGTAGAAATAGTAATATTTTAATAATCAACAGGAACAATTCATTTCAATAAAATGAATTATTGAACAAACATTTCATGTGGAAAAAAAGAATCGTTAGTCTATCTCAATCTCTCTCTTCCACTTATTATTATTCTTCCTTCTCTTTTTCTCTCTTCTCTCATGTTATATCTGGATAGTCATGTTCGGAGGAATTCTTTCACTTCTTTGAATAAACCAGAAACTCGTCGATACGAGCTAATAAAAGATTGGCATGAAATACGGATGATGAAATCAAATAAAATCAGTTTTAATCTGATTTTTTCCTGAAACTTTTTATATGAGTGATCGCCAAATATTATTTTATAACGAACGATTACACGCTGTATATATTTATGGAAAAGCGAGTGAATGAAACACAAAAAAGAATAATAAGAGATATATGCCAATCTATGAAAACTAATATTTTTTCGTAAAAAGAAATCTTCCATAACGACTAACAAATCAGTCTGACAGTCTTGTTTTCAATTTCATTTCCAGTTTTTATTCATCAATAATAATTCTATGATTTTTTAGGCAAACTATATGAGAGATGTATTCATCAGGAAAAGAGTGTCTCCAAAATCAACGATTGACGTAGAAGTGCGTCAGATATACATCAGCAACAAGAGATTTCACTTATCCAACAGGAACAGTGAAAGGCAAATCTTTTATAATGCACTTCCTTCGAAGTGTGGAATAAATCGTTTGTTACTTCTTTCGAACAAATATCAATACCTCGTTGTAAGTTCTTCATTATCAAATAGGTTTTAAACATCGAATAAATCTGGCCAAATTCGTTGCTTCTGAAAGAAGAACAACAAATTTAGTATGAGTCAACGACAATAAAAGGCTTCCTATTTTACTCATTATTGCATTATATTTTTATTGACTAATAAAAACAAACTTCCTTTCATTCGATTTGTCATGGTTTATGATTTTTTTTGTTTAATGACAAATATGCACAATTCTGTATCGGACTCATAAAGGTGAAAAATGACTCTCGTCTACATTACTCATTACATTCGTGATTTATTATAATCACATTAAAAACTACTTAGCAAAGGGAAGTAAACCACATATATAAAGACCAACTGCTTATAGAGTTTACATGCTACTAGAACACATTTACCCAATCATTGATTCAGAAGAATATCAATACAACTTGAAGGTAAACTTATTATATAATACTTTTTATTTTTTAAGAAAGGTATTAATTTTGTTTAGAGCAAGTATTCAAGATGCATAACGGTGAAGTAGTTTTACATAATTCAGGAAAGTGTCCATTTATTTCTGGGCAAGAATTCTCAGCTGTGAACGATTCATTATCATCTGCTGGCAACGCAGATGAAAATAGATTACTTTGGACACCAGAAATCGAGCGAGTCCAACTACAAAATTATCAGACAGGTGAATCAATCTCAGTAACTGGACCACTACCTAATATTTATCAAGACTGCCGTCATCAAGTCTGTACATCAACATTTATGTCACTTCCTGCACATTCACATCAAAATAAATCAAAAAGTGGTCACGTAATGGATGAGTTAGAATCGTACTCAGTAACTAACATCCGAAAAGAAGCATATGATTATCTTCAAATTTTTCATAAAGACAAAAATACTTCGGAAGTAGATTATAAAAAACGATTAGAACAAGTTGAACTCGAGATTGAACATACACGTAGCTATGTACATACAACTGATGAAATCGAATATGGAGGTCAATTAGCTTGGCGTAATGCATCACGTTGTATCAATCGATTATTTTGGCGTGATCTCAAAATTATTGATCGTCGAGATGTGAAAACCAACCATGACATGTTTAAAGAAATATGTAATCACATCCGTTTTGCATATAATAAAGGTACATTACAATCATCGATTCTTGTATTCAGTTCTCGAGCACGAATGTGGTCAACACAGTATCTACGTTATGCTTGTTATGAACAATTAAATGGTACACTACTCGGTGATCCAGCGAATCGACATCTAACTAAAGCAGCAATGCAACTTGGTTGGAATAAACCAGAAACAGAACGAACACAATGGGATTTACTACCCATTATCGTTCAAATTGATCCAAATGAACCTCCAAGTTGGTATGAACTTCCACAAGATCTACGTCTTGAAATATTCTTATCACATCCTGATCCAAAATATGATGCAGCAATTAAACAATTAGGTCTACGATGGGTTGTTCAACCTTATGTTTGTGATAAAGCTATTGAAATTGGTGGTATTTTTTATCGAAGTGTTCCATTTAGTGGTTGGTTTATGGAAACTGAAATTGGAAGAAATCTATGTGATATACAACGTTATAATATTATTCCAAAGTTAGCTGTTTTATTGAATCTTGATGTTACTACTGCGGCTAATAGTCAATTGAACGTTGATCGATTATATGTAGAAATCAATGCAGCTGTTCTTTATTCGTTTCAAAAAGCTCAAATAACTATCGTTGATCATCATACAGCTGCTGCTGGATTCATTAAATTTATGAAACAAGAAGTAATTCTACGTGGAAATACTCCAGCTGATTGGGTATGGCTTGTGCCACCTATTAGTGGTGGTATGAGCAGTGTGTTTCATCAAGAAATGCTTAATTATGTTGTTAAACCACGAGTGTTAGATCAACGGGATCCTTGGACTTACTATGGTCCGTTTCTCAAACATAAACAAAATTTAACATTGTCTACAGAAAATAAACGTCGTCGTCGCTGGCTACTGGTACGTGCTGTATGTGTTATTATTGGCTTTGCTCTGTCAGCTATGAAACGACGAATACCTATTCATGTTCTCTATGCATCAGCTAGTGGAACAGCACAATCATATGCTGAACAAATGGTCAAACGATTAAAAATTACAGGTTATAATGCTATATTAATGGAATTAGATTCATATCCATTTGAACAAACTAACAACACTCGAGCAATCATCTTCATTATAACATCAACATTTGGTCAAGGAAATGCGCCAGAAGGTGGACAAAAAGTAGAACAATGGCTACACAATGTAACTAATATTGGTATGAATAATAGCACCAGTAATATGAAACGTATAAGTCTTCAAAATAATCCTAATCAATCAAGTGAAATAAATAAATCTTCGTTGAATTGGTGTTCTTACGCAGTTTGTGCTATTGGTTCATCGGCATATCCATTTTTTTGTGGATTTGGAAAATTAGTTGATACTTCATTTCAATTACTTGGTGCACATCGATTAGCTCCATTTGCTACATGTGATGCACTCAATCAACAATACAAAAGTTACAATGAATGGGAAGAAAATACTGTTATAGCCTTAAAATCAGCATATCCACATGCTTGTTCACGTAAGGAAGATATCCGACGTTCTCCACTAGATCGTGCTCCTTCTTTGAGAAGAGAAGTTTCCTATGTCGAGCAGCAAGTCAATCTGACTAAACCTCTTCGACCAACGTCTATTCCTTTAACATTTAATACAAATGATTCTGAAACAATTCCATCTGAACCAGTTGGACCTTTCACGAAAGAAAATTCATATCTAGCTACTGTCTTACAAAATATCGAGTTAACTGGCTCTGACAATAATATTAATGATTTTGATCGACAAGATCAACAGACATCATCAACAACTGACTCTATACAATCAAAAAGGAAAGTGACAATTCCTTCAAGTTTTAATAATGTCAGTAACGATGGATATCGATCTGTTCGTTTAATCGTATTGGATACAACTGATTTAAATTATTACCCGGGTGACCATGTTTGTATTCTACCAGAAAATACATTAGCCAATGTTAATGGTGTTATTGCAGCATGTGGATGGCAACTAGGAAATAAACTTTTAATTGTTCCTTGTTCACTATCAAGTTATACTAATGGAAAATATCAAACATTACGACAAATCTTAACAAATTTTGTTGATCTGACTACGCCATTACGACCACATACGTTGAATACTATTGCTACATATGCTAAAGATACAAATGAACAACGACAGTTAATGGAATTAGGTAAAGGTGGACAAAGATATACTGATTGGATTGTCAATTCACCAACTGTTAAAGAAACATTAGAAATGTTTAGATCGATTCAAATACCTCTAGAAGAACTCATTCAAGTAAGATTTTTATTATAACTAACGTTTTCAGAATAGTTAAATAGAGTATATTATAAAGACGTTTGTAGAAATTCAGTCTACTGTTTCTGAATAGAATAAGAAGATTTTTCTCAAGTGAACTGAGTATATCAGACGTAGCGTAAGAGACTTTCAAAAACGAATCAGTTGTTATACAACAGTCATGTAATTCTATTTTTCAGTAATGAGAGAAGTTGATTATGGGGTCTGTCTAAACATATATGCCAATACTAATATAATTCTTTTTCATTTGTAGCTTCTGCCCCCGCTTCAACCAAGATATTACTCTATATCGTCGTCAGCTAATCGCCACCCAAATCAATTACACATAACCGTCAGCGTTGTAACATACATGACTCCACGTGGAGTTGTTCGAAAAGGTATTTGTTCGAACTATTTGCAGCAAACACTACCTAAGTTATCACCGGATGGAAAACTCATTCAATCAACATTTCCACGAAAACCAAGCCAAGTTCGATTGTTTATATCACCGAATCCTCATTTTCGCTTGCCGGGTCAAGATAGTTTATCAATCAATATGACAAGAGAAATGTTAAGTGGTGGTGATGCATATCTTCCACTTAATAGTTCGCTTTTGATGTTTGCTGTTGGTTCTGGTATTGCACCATTTCGAGCTTTCTGGGAAGAATTAGAATTCTTAGAACGATCACAAGGAAATGTACAAGTTGAACGTGTCTTATTTATGGGTTGTCGTTCATCAAGTGATTTTCTTTATGCTAAAGAACTTCAATCACTTACAAGTCAACGAGGAAGAGGTAACAAACTTCTCACAGCTGTCATTCCAGTATATTCGAGAGAAAATGTTGTTGTCAAACGATATATTCAAGATGTTATGTTGGATTATGAAGATATGATCTATTCAATATTAAATGATGATAATGCATTTGTATATATGTGTGGATCAACTCGTTCATGCCAAGGAATCGAATCAACGCTAGCATCTATTTTACAATCATGTGGCGAAGATGATTTAACATTCATTCAAGCAACTAATCGTATCAAAGAATACAAAGAATTTGGTCGAATCAAACAAGATATGTTCGGCTAGATCAGACGGACGATGATCGTTCTTATTGTCAAATGATTTTCAAAGATAGTTTCAACATATCCGTTTTTTAATGTTTTCATTTGCTTGTTTTCTCAACTTTTTTGAATTTGTTTTTAACGAAATACTATAAATAATGTTTACGAATATTTTATTTATTTCTCACACATCTTGCATTTGATGAGATATTATTCAGCATTTTTCGAGAAAGTTTAAAATCCATATACTACTAAACAGGCAGTTTCTTCTTTGTTTAGTTATGTCTACTTTTTGTCGGGGTGGGTGCGAATGTGGTTAAGGGAAGAACAAAACACCTACGCCCTCAAGATGCAATAAAAAAATAGGAGATATTTCAATAAAAATCATTTTTAACTTTACTTCAGTACACTAATTTGCAAAAGAGCAAGAAAAGACACAAAGACTAGACAAAATTCTATTTTTGATGCAACTATTTTTCTATAGATCGAATTAATAACATTTCATCAACCTTATTTGATTATAGATTTGTTTGTCTTTCATTAAGAATGCAACCAGCTGATGAAAATTCCTTCTCTACATTTGTACTAGTTCTAGGGATAGATAAAATTGAATTTGTTGATTTTTTTTTGACAAAAGAAAATATTACATAGATGTAACCACAAAATGAACAATAAATATTTTTCTTGCTTTTGTCTATTTTTTCGTCATACTTTATACAAAACTCATCTGTGGAGAATGCACAGTTTCTTTGGCTGCTTGATACTCATGTAAAAAAAGTTGTGAAAATCAGATTTAATATGAGAAATCGACTTAAATGACACGATTTTAACAGCTTATTAATCAATTATTTGAACTTACTTGATTAGCAAGCTATTAAAATCGTGGCATTTAAATCGATTTCTCATATTAAATCTGATTTTCACAACTGTTTTTACACGAATACCGTTCTCTGTCATGCAATATACTAAATTCTATAGAAAAATCTAAAAAAGATGACTTTTTTTACATAATCCATACATTTGCAGGGTGTAAACCTTAACCCTGTGCCCTGTCCTGTACCCTGCCCAGCTCTGCTACTTTGCAGGACAGGGCAAAAATCGCTAATGCTACCCTGTTCCTGCTACAGGGCAGGGCAGGGTAACCCTGCCCTGTGATCATCTCTGCTGTGAACCAGCATTGCCTTTGTTTTTTTAACGTTTACAGGTAGTAACAGATTTTTGAAAATGTAGTGAGTATACGCATTGCAATTTCAGCTTGTTCTTCTAGTTCATTTATGTTCAGAGATAACTTTTTTTCTAAAGATCCTTTTAGTAAGATTGCTAGATCATCGGCAAATAGGTGTGTATACAAACGAAAAAAATATTTAGGCAAGAAGTGTATATGAAGTCTAAAAAGTGTCGCTGCTAAAACTGAGCCTTGTGGAGCACCTATTTGTATCTTAATTATTTTAGATATTGATTCACCGTGATAGATAGACATAGTTCTTTCTTGAAGCCATTTATATATCCATTTTATCAAGAGTAAGACTAATTGGAGCCATTTTTCATAATGACATATGTCTCCGCTCATCAACTTAATTTGTGATGACTCCGTTGATCGATCTACAGCCATATCGGCGAGCATTCTTTTCCAAATATTTAATTGAGTAGAGATACGGTGTCTAAAACGCCGTAATGCAATGGGCTATATAAAAAATATTTAATCCAGTAAATTACTATAATGTTCACTTACATTATCGCGGTGATGATACAATATCACGATTACACCAATGAATTCCATTAATGAATTATCAAAACGAAAATATAATGTTAAAGAAATAACTGTATGTATATATGATTAATGATTTGTTATTAATCTAGAAAACGAACAGAAGAAAATCTTGTTGAAATATATATTTGATCGTATAAGAATAAATTTTATTAAATAAAACTTATTAAAACATATATTTTAATATCATATTACAAAATGACAACAAGATGAAATAAATATATCATTGATTTATTTATTTTTTTATATCTCAAATTGATAATTAAATATTAAAAAAGCCAATTGTCAATACATTTTTTTCTATTATAAAATAACAAAATTGTTCACATTATATGTTCATATAATGATTTATCGATAAGATTTCAATAAAAAGATTTTGTATATGTCTGGTAACTCGTATGAATTTCATATCAAAGGTTACAATAACAAGATTGTTTTTATGTTGATAACATCATGAGCCAAGATCATTTATTTGTATATCAAATACTTGTCACTTTTAGCAGGCTCATGAACGATGCCAATCAGTTCCGATGAATAAATGTAAGCGAATAAATAAGATATTCATTCGCTTGTTTATTACATACATATCACATGACCTTTTCTTCTCTTTTCTTTCACTCACTTGGTATTTTCCTTTCATTCTTCTTTATTCGTTTCTTCTTTCACACGTCACGTATATGTGTCATCTTCTCATATGTATTCTTCAATGGATTTTTCCCTTATTACTATGTTCTATGGATATTTCCACCGCTAATGGGTTATCTATCCTATATATACAGTGATTTTCTATGAATAAAGGGAGAGATGTTATAAGACATTTGATAAGACTGTAACAAAGTCCATTATGTAAACGAGCAATAATTAATGTAAGTTTTGTTAAGAAAAAGCTATCGAAATTATTTAATCATCTATTTTAGATACTTGAATATACAATGGCCTTTTAAGCAATTCAATTGTCTTAATTTATCGAAAAACACAATGAAAGATTCAACAGCAATACAAATTCGTCTTTTTCTATAAAATGAAGTTAAATCCTACTCATAAAATTTTTATATCAGAAGGTTGTAATGATTGGAAGAATGCTTTTTCAAGATTTAAATTAGACCAAACAAGTAAACTTCATCTTAATTCAACTTATGTTATGAATCAAGAATTAAGAGCAACTGTAGTACTACAACTATTGTCATCAACCAAAAAGCATCAAGAGCAACGACGACAAGCATTTTTTATCAAAATCTCATCTATTATGTATTTACTTCGCCAAGGACTTGCTCTACGTGGTCAGTCGGATGAAAACTGTAATTTGATTCAACTAGTAAAACTTCGAAGTATTGACCAAGATTGTTTGAAAGATTGGATTGATAACAAAAAATATTTATCACATGATATCGTCAATGAAATATATAAAGAAATCTATTTAACAATTATTCGAGATATTGTTAAAGAAGTATGTGAAATTTAGTTTACTTGTTTTGTAAAACTATTTAGAATAATCATTTGACTTCTACTGAACCATATCTTCGATAAATTATAGGTTTTCTCCTTGAAAGTAGAGGAAAAAATGTTTGATGTAGGTGTGGGTGTGCGTGTGGGCCTTGTATACTTCCGTCAATCATACCCACACCCACCCACTCCCGAGAAAAGAGATTACAATTGTTAATTATAATATTAAGCATTAAGCACATGTATAACCTTTGCAACGAGACATTTTACAAAAAAAGCTTAAATGTCTTTATAAAAAAATTGAATTGTTATAAATGATTTCGTAATCACGCTGTTAAGATGTGATTCTATATCACATATGTATAAGTACAACGACTGTTGCCAGAACAAATCCAGTTGTGCTACTGAGATAAGATGTAGCTGCACCTGTAGTGCTTGTAGTAGCGACAGTAATAAGATTCGTTGTCATCAGAGTTGTATTATTTGTAGTAGCAGCAGTTGTAGTGACCGTTTGGATCGCATCCCAAAAGTCACATTGTGTCATATTGATTATTCTAAACGTAAGGTTCCCATCGAATCTAACACCTTGTCCTCCTTGACTCCAGTCTAGCCACTTGCTCCCATTGGCCAATGTTGGATAGCCATTTTTCGACATACTCTGCCAGGCAGTCACTATCTCTGTGCTGAGCATTTGTTCACTTGTTGACAACGCACATGTTCCATTGGGTCGTGGTAAGTTTGACGTTACTCCAAAGACGAATGCGAGTTCACTAGTGTGTGTAGCACCTAAAACGGAGAGTAGACCAGATGGTATTGACGGTTCCCACGGACAACTTGTGACATGATTCCACAAATAAGCGTACGTGCCAAGTTGACTTGTTAACGACGTTTTGAGAGCACGACGTGCTGGACATGCATATTCAGCATCGGTAATAACGGCAGCTATAGCGTACATGGCAGGTGCAACGGTTGAATTGAACATTGAGATGGGATAGAGAGCTGAAATGCTGGAAGCAAGGACAGCGCCGAAGGTAATATTCAAGTAGTTATTGTAGTCAACGGAAGTGACAGTAAGTGGATTGGAAAATGATGAAACGGCGAACAAAACGCCTTCCATGGAGCCTGTTTAAATAGAGAGCACTTTTAATATAAAATTCCTAGAAATATCTATTCGTATTATCTTTAAATGTAAATTTAGTCGTCAGCGCTCGAATCACTTTTATTTTAATTTTTATCTGTATATTTAGACAAAATCTAAGATAAGTCATGTTTTTATAGAAACAAAAGTGTACTAGTTCAATCTTGAGCGTTGTTTTTTGTACGAAATATGTACATTTTTAGAACTTTTGGAATATGACCTTATAATTCGTGTTATAGAAAAAAAAGCAAAATCAAAGAGCTTGGGTGAAAGTGCTGTGGAAACTTACATGTTCCCGCCATGAATGGAACTTTTGGTGAGGTGGCGATTGGTTGAACTGGTATTATATTTCCATCTACATGAGCATAGAATTGAGTGGGTAGGTACAGAAACATAGGAAGATAGTTAGGTGTTGCTTGATTGATTTGATCAGCCGATTTCATACGAAGACATCCCGCCACCTAGTTCTTACTTAATCTCTGTAACACGAAAAATCAAAGAGACTTACATCACTTGAATTGGAACAGCCAAGTGCTTCAATGAATGCATTACCATTTGCAATCTGTTGCTCACTCGTTGCCAGAGGTCTTCCGGCGCCTGACTCCGAGATGACGCTTGAACAAAGATCATTAGCTTGAGGGAGAGTGCTGATAACATGAGCAATGATTCCACCCGTTGATTGACCAAAGAGGAGGACAGTTTTCTATGTTATAAATATTAAAAAAACTTTCTTGTCCTTCGCGAAATAGAAGACTCGATACATTATTTAATGACTCAGCAAACAAAACTTAGAAAATCTTTGAAGATTCTTATATATTTTGAACCTTGATATTTTACAAGAAATTTATTTGCTTTTAAATCGTCTACAACATAACATTATAAAGACGATATTTTTGTATGGACTAGTGAAACTTATCTCGAATACTGACATCGTGTATTTTAATAAGTTAGCTGTTTGAAGAGAATTTATGTAATTTTATATCCGATCAACTTCAAATTAAACTTTGCAAATTTATTCGAAGAAAACTCAAACGTCACTTCTATTAAACAGCTGATGTAATGAAAAGCTGAGTCTTGATCGATTCTCTAAATATCTCACGTTTCTTCGTAAAATAGTGTTAGATTATTTCTTTATAATGCAATGAACTTTTGGAGTCTTTGCTAATTTTACTGTTGCCCTATATAATCTCTAGTTAAATTTGATGAAATTATTCATACATTATTGCCACCAAATGAAGCGATATTTTCTTGAATCCATTGCAATGCCATGAGAACATCAAGAACACCGTAGTTGCCTGTAAAATTTAACGGTGCTCCCAAAGTGAGCCAGCCGAGAGGACCGAGTCTATAATTCATTGAAACGACGATTGCGTTTGTAGCTATTGCACATCCATTATATAGAGGATCAGAGCTCGAGACTATATAACCACCTCCACCATAAATCCAAACTTTCACTGGAAGTGAAGAGTTCTTAGTTGCATTAGCTGGAGCCCATACGTTAAGAGACAGACTATAAAGAATATAATATAAACCTTGTTGCGTAAACATATCTCACCCAACAGTCCTCAGAATAAGGGAGAGGTTCAGTAGAAAAAGAACCGAATTGATAGCAACTAGGTGAGAACGTTGTAGCATTAAGTGTACCATTTGGATATGTTGAATTGTATGAAATTGGAGCATTCCATCGAAGATTCCCAACTGGAGGCCGTTAGTAAATGGAGAAGAGCAATAGGACCCGAATATAGTTCCATTCGACACGGTGACTGATAATGTTTGTGCCGAAATAGCAATTATAAATATACTGAGCAAGGATAATGTTTGTAATATATGAGTATATATAGATTTCGACATTTGAAATAAAACTCACATTAGATATATATTACTCGACATTCTGTGTATGAATTACAAGTTTTTAGCTCATTCTAAGACAGTTGCTTCTTAGGAAAACTTGATGTCAATTTTTATCAAACAATTCAAACGGTATCAAAGATAGAGCTTGTGCTGTTAATCGCGAAAATTTACTATTTAGTCTTGAAGGCGTAAGGATGGGCGTGAGTTTTTCTGTGAACATGATATTTCATCTGCACTCACACCCCTTCCAAACTGTCCATTTTGTGTATTTAATAAACCATTAATAGTGCATGAAGCATTCGTCAATAAACGTTACGAGGGATTGGATAAGAATAATAAATATGGCTGAAGATCCATCATACAAAATGGCATAGTATATTAACAGCAACAAGTAGAAAAAGACGAGAAGAAATAATAATAATAGTTTAAAAAATTAGACACAATACTATGACGTTATATATATATATATATAATGCGTTTATTCTCAAGGACTGTAATTTATGAGAGAAAAAATGTACTTTTTTAATATTATGCACACTCATCCCACATGTGCACACTAATCTTTCTATATAAATAAAATGGCGTATGCATGTATACACAGTGGGTACAAACCAAACTTGAATTGCGCACGTTAATTAATGTGTATAGGTATAACTGATAAATACATATATGTAGAAAGAGAAAGAAAAATATAAAAGTGCGTCCTTCTGAGCGCAAATAGGTAGCTAAAAGTTACAAGCAAATCGAAAATTTTTGTTACATACTTTTGAGGGTATGGGTATAACATAGACTATATTTGAATCTACATCCATCTTTATTTTAGATTTGACAGTTGGAAGCGATATTGTTTGTACTTGAACAACAGTTAGAATCTATAATGACGTAAGAAAATCTACAAGTTAATAATGCACATGATTCTATTTATTATGAATTACAGTGACAATATCTTAATAAAGAAAATGAGACCGTACGTACACCAAAAAAAATGGTATGATTAACAAATGACAGAGGATTTTGTGCAAAATACGAAACTTTAAAAAGATTTCGATTTTTGAAACGAATTCTAAACTTTTTCTTAATAATATTGTTTTTTTTTATCAACCAAAAACTCCCAAATATATTAAGCGTTATTAATGTTCATTATAAATTTCATATTGATTTAATTAAAATATTATTGAAAAGATATTTCTAAAATAAATCCAGTATATTTTATCAATTGAAATAATGATATACATATTGAACATTTTTATGGTTTAATCTTTCGATGAATTTCATATTCATTACTTTTATTTAATGAAAATATTGTTTTGATTTCAATGAAAAAAAGCGACAAAGAAAAAAACGTACAAGGTTTTTTATTTGTCAAAAATGCAAAATGTAACGAAGAACAAAACGACAAAAAAAACCTATGAATAATTTTTAAGTATTAGTTTTTATAAAAAAATGAAATTGTTAAAATCACCATTAATAGTAAGATGTATTTTTTTATATAAAAAAAGAATTCATGGAGATTACTAGAGAATGTTAAACTTAATTCTAAAATTGTTGGTATATTTCTTCTTAATAATTTCTTTAATGTTTCTTCTATGGATATTAATGATCAAAGTAATGTATAAAAATGATGAATGTTCAAAATTAAAAATGATTAAATTAAATTCGAATGACAATCAAATATTAAATGTATCCAAAATTGATAAACGTTTAAAATTAAATGATTATACAATCCTTGGTACACATAATAGTTATCATTTAGAAAATTTTTTTTATAAATATTCTCATAAATCATTAACAAAACAATTATTATTTGGTATTCGACAAATTGAATTAGATATTCATTTAATGAAAAATAATAATCTTATTTATCATTTACAAATATTTGATGATAAAACAAATTGTTATTGTTTTAAACATTGTTTAATGAAAATAAAAGAATTTACATCGAAATATAAATATCATTATCCAATTTATTTATTTATTGAAATTAAACAAATGTTTTATGAAGATATTTTTACTGGATTAACAGGTGGTGTTAAATGTCAACATTTTCAACAAATAAAAAAAGAAATTTTAGAAATATTTTCATATCAAACATTGATTCTTCCGAAACAAATTCAAGGAAATCAAAAATCAATTAAAATAGCGTTAAAAAAACAAAAACAAAAACAAATTCAAGGAGATTTTATCTATAGAAATTATGGTTGGCCACCTATTTCAACTAGTTTAGGAAAATTAATACCGGTTTTTCTTGATGATGTTCACAATATCGTTGTAGATTTATATTATCAATGTTCTTCAATTAGGAATTTCTTTTTTATTTCTCAAAAAAATCAAAATCTTCCGTATTCATCCATCATAACTATATCAAATTCAATTAAAGATAAACAAATTTTAATTGACAGTCATCAAAATGGTTTCTTAATTCGTCTTTTACTTGCATATGGAAATAAAAATATTTTTCAAACCTATCAATTAACTAAACACTATGGAATTCATATTATTAGTTCAGATTCAATACAATGTTCTCGAACATTATTATGTCAAAGTTTAGCAAAAGATTTTAAACATTCAACTATTTTATGTAATAAATATTCTTCTCCTCATTTCTGTAATTCATCAATTTCATTTTTTCAAAAAAAAATAAAATAAATAGATCAATTCATTCACATTTCTATATTTTGTGTTTTTAGAGATTTATCAATTGTTACAAGCTACGAATCAATAAAAGAAAATGAAAAAAGTGTCGTATTTTTTCTAATTCAAAATTCCATAAAAATACCACGATTGTAGTTCAATTTAAAAGGGTGTGGGTGTGGGTGTGGGTGTGGATGTTGAAGATGATATAGTCGAGCAAAGATTATAACAAACACGCCCTCAAGATGGTTTTCTCGTTCAAAATAGAATATATTTGAATACGAAGTTCATTGAATGTATACTTCATTTCAATATGATGTAATCTTTTCAAAGTTAGGTTATTTAATTCATAACATGATTTTTCACTTCTTTTTCTAATTAGTTTTAATAAAATAATATTTTGTTTATCTCTTACTACACGTAAATTCAACATCTTTATTAACTGCAATCTCTATTTTGGAGAAAATGAAATTTAATATCCTAAAAGACTACTAGCAATATATTGCACAAATGAATTAGAATATGTGTTCTATAAATACATTGTTGTTTAATTAAATATTTTAATGACATGTTTTTTTGACCTGAGAGATTAACATAAACTCTCTTTTTATTATTTATGTGTAGGTAGTGCAGAGATAAAACATCATTCTTTTTTCTTTTATACGAGTTATGAAAGCTCTAATGAGAAATTCAAGTATTTTTTTATTAAATTTATATTTTATATTCTATATTCAAAATTAATATATCATTCAATAGATACAACATATTTTATATAAAAATAAATGTGGAAACCTCGGATTTTATCCGAGAGTTATGTATACTGCAAAAAGTGTATATGGAAATCATGGAGAAATATCAGTATTTTTGCAATAATTCGAGAATGGCTCGTTCAATTAGGCTGAACTCGATCAAGATCTTGATGAGACTGAATTGTGTAGAAATTTTCATCAAAATCTACCTCTCCTTTCGAAAGTTATCGTGTAAACGGACGGACGGACACACTGACCGATTCTAGTAGTGTACTCGCTTTTTGAGTACACAAAAAGAAATATTGTCATACTAGTAATTAAAGACTTTTATTATCAATCGTGACAGTAATTTCTGTTAAGATCCTCTATAAATGATAAGAATAGATTAACATTTTCTTTTATATTAAATTTTATATCTTCCAGGAAAAGAAGAAAAACAGAAATAATAAAGAACATGTCATTTAAAATAGATTTAAAATAAAGTAACATGTCATCATCATCGGTATCTGATGGAATTCTTAAATTTGCTACACAATACTCGATTTATACTGGTTTTATTGCATTTATTTTTGGAATTATTGGTAATGCGTTGAACATTTTCGTTTTTACTCAATTGAAATTATTTCGAACTAATCGATGCATCTTCTATATGACTATTGAATCAATTTCTAACTTCATTTATCAGTTTTTATCTATTAGTTTAACTATTTTAACATCAATATATGGAGATGATGCAACAGGACGTTCTTTCATTTGGTGTAAACTCAGATCTATATTGTCACAAATATGTGCTCTCACTACTTTTTATATGATATGTTTTTCTGCTGTTGATCAATTCTTTTCAACAAATTATCGTTACAATTTAAGACAAATGTGTACATTGAAACTAGGCCGATATTTTGTGTTGATATTCATTTGTTTTGCAATCATTCATAGCATTGTATTTGGCTTTTCTTATAATATTCAACCAAAATTTGGATGTATCGTATCGGATTATACATGGATTCAGTATTCAACATTTTTCTTATATCCAATTTTAGTTGGTTTTCTACCTATAGTAATTGCATCATCATTTAGTATCTTAGCTTATTATAATGTTCGTCATATAGTCCGACGACAATTACCAATGGTTCGTCGAAAATTAGACAAACAAATAACAGCAATGGTTCTTACGCGTGTAATAGCTTTCGTTTGTTTGGTATTACCTTATAATATTTATCGTATTTATGCGGTTAATTTTCCTACATCACAAAGTGTACCTAAGGACTATGCAATTAGCCGATTAATTCAAGCAATTTTTTCTTCTATCAACATTATGAATTCTGTTGTAAATAAATCTTCTTTTCTAATTCAAAGTTGTAAGATTTTTCTTTATTTTAGACCAACTTTTATATTTTTATAATATTCTCATCACGTTTTCGTCGTCAAGTAAAACTTGTTCTAGTAAAAAAATGTTGGCAACCATGGAAGTATTGGTGTTGTTCCATAAATAATCAAATTGAACCTAACAACAATATTGAACCACGCAATTCACAAATGGAATCTGATGAGAATATCTAACTATTCATTAAATATATTAGTTGTCATATTTTTATTTTTTCTCTTTATAATGAATCTTGAGGATGTGCGTGTCTGTGTTGATCTTTTCTCTCGATTATCTCTACCTATACGCATGCCCAAAATCTAACATAAGTCCTAGAAATATATTAATATGTATACGATAGAAGAAAAACATTGATTTTTAAACTTAATCCATTGGATAAAGTTAAAAAAAAAACAGAAAACAAATAAAAAATGTTATTGTTAATGAATATAAAATATTTTTTTTTGGAGAGTAAATACTAACTACATTATTAATGGAATAAAACGTTTGTGACTAATGTTCATCTTTTCAATCGTGCTCTGTTTTGAAGAATCTCATTGATACGTCGTAGTATGTTGTCACCGATTTGATTGCTGATGAGATCAAGTTCGGTTAATGTCTAGTGAAAGAGTATATGAATAGATGAATATGAAGAAGATGGTTACAAGTGATGTTACTTTGTTTCGTTGTAGAGCATTAGCAAGATATTCTCCACCTTCATCACCAATATTATTGCCGTAGAGATTAAGGTAGGTAAGTGTCTATACGAAATGTAATGCATGAGACAATAATTGAGTAAGCAAAAAAAGAATAGTGAGTGTTATATAACCTGATTTTGTTGTAGAGCATTCGCAAACTGCTTAGCTCCTTCATTACCAATACGGTTCTCTCCGAGATAAAGTGTGGTCAGTGTCTGTGAAAAATAATGAATGAATGGATGACTACATAAGGAAAAGAGTACTACGAGTTGTGTTACTTTATTTCGTTGTAGAGCATTTGCCAAATATTGTGCTCCTTCATCACTGATTCCATTACCATAGAGGTTGAGTGTGGTCAGTGTCTGTGCAAAGTCATGAATAAATGATTGATTAAGAAGAAGAAGAGTAGTACGAGTTATGATACCTCGTTTCGTTGAAGAGTATTTGCAAGATGCTTTGCACCTTTGTCACCGATTTGATACCAATGAATCTCAAATGTGGTGAATGTCTATAGAAAAATAATAATAAGTAGATTATCAAAGACTTGCTACAACGATACATAAATCTTGGGGGTATGAGTGTGGATGAGAATTTTGTCAGTTGATTCTATTAGTCACACACACACCCACACCCTCAAGACTTATAATAAAATAAAAAATAACCTGGTATCGATCGTATGTATCCATGATGGTATTGAGCCTTACACAAACGTTCTGACATGACAGGAAAAGTGTGTCCTTGTCGAGATGGTCAAAAATTCGATAAACCAGTTCGACGGGTAATGTGTGAAGTGATAAAGACATTGGCGTTATGTTTTTTTTAAACGTGTGTTTTATTTAAATGAATATGCCTAACACTATTCGTTACTTTGTAAGAGCTGCTATGTACATTATTACACGTGATAAAGTTTCTTGTGATGGTGCAATTTTTTCTCTCTATATAAAATCACAAATATTTCAAAAGAACGATAAAATATGAAAGCAAATGTCTATCGTTTTTTCTTTTGCGTTCTATGTAAATCTAAGAATTAACTGTTATGCTGATTATAGGTATTTTTTCAGCACTTTTAATAAGGTTTCGAGTTAAAAGCATTTATATATTAATGAATATTCTTTGTTAAGAAAGTTGCTTATTATAGAAAATTAATTCAAACGGTATCGTATTTTTGCATCAAATCAGAGATATAATTAACTCGTATGGATCATCGGGTGATCTCTCCTATATAGTTTTGTGTTTTATCATATATATTTGTTGAAAACTTAAGAATCTCTCACTAGACAATCAAAAATTAAGAAAAAACTTTGTATTACGGAAATGTCACAAAATCCATTAGATTTTCTATTTTTAAAAAGTAGTATGCTTTCGATGGATTCTTTTTTTAATGAAAGTAGTTGATACACTATAATACACTATGTGTGTACAAAAGATACCATTAATTAAAGGGTATGGATGTGGATGTGGATGTGTACATTAGCTGTATGCCACCCACACCCACCCTGATCAAGACATCTTCATTATTATTTTTTTTCTCTTTTTTTGTGCTAATAAAATATTTTTTATTGAAGTAATCTAAACAGAAAAATACAGAATTATTTCCTGGCGTTTGGTTGGTTGCTTGTCATATATCCTATGGAAAAAACTTACCGTCGAATGCAGACTAAAACGTATTTCAGTCGTGTCTGAGCACAGCAAAAATGTATATATATCTTTTTTATTACTTTTCATAAAATTAATTAAGCTGCCTGTTTTTTTGTCGTATTTTCAAGCATGTTTTATTCCGTAAAAGCATACAGAAAAATTATCATTTTATTTCTTCATGAAATGTCTTTTTATATAAATAAGCAATTATAATTTCGAAATAGCATCAAGATCATTATATCGATATTTTACACATTGTTAAAGTTTCTGAAAGCAGCATTTATGACTTTATCTTCATTCAATTTATTATGCTATTTAAGTTCATAAGAGGACAAAACTAAAAGCGATAGCAAGGTTTCTGAAGAACGGCTGAAAAATCCAAACAAGTATAGTATTAAAAGTGAGAAGGGCATTTCAACAAAGTTTATTACAATTTGTACGATCACAAGGAGATACAAGCGGACTTCTATATTTCTGAAGTACATTTAGTTTCGATTTTAATTTGCATTCACAAACAGAATAAAGTATTCTGCCATCGAGAGATGTCAAAAAATTGTGTTCCCAAAAATAGAATAAAAATATTATCTTTACATGCACAAGTACCAAGAAGTACTGAAAAGTGCAAAAATGCACTGGTTCCCCATGTATGATCATTTAATGGACGTTCCTTGTGAAAAAAATTCTTGACAGATCCAGTATTTTGAATGGCATAATAAAGATTTTCGTCAGATTTTACCAAAATCTAATTAAAAGTGGAAACAATAAATAATTTCTTACTGTAATTTGTGAACTATAAAGTACCTATGTAAAAAAATAGCTAAAAACCAGATTATAATCGATTATTTTTTCATTAACAATCGATTATAATAGTACGATTTTCATTAGATTTTTAATGCAAAATAATTATTTGTTTAAAGAAAATTTTTCTGACGCGATATATTCTGGTGGGATCTTTTACTTCAGCATTACTCGAAAACACTTCGTAGGGTTTTACTATTATCAAAGAGAACCTTTTATCTTTCGAGATCACTCTGCAAGATCTTTCAGACTTTTCCCACCACTATTCAAAAAATTTTCGAGTTTTACTATTGTAACAGAGAACCTCAGCCTAGCTTTGTACGTACTGCATAGTCGCAATATATTTCTACCGAAACTCTTTTTTACCCTAGAGCATCATCTCTCTTAGCACATAGCAAAAGTCCTCAGCAAAAATTATTCTTACAATATATATTACGTTTGAAATAATCCCTTTTATTTATTACTTTCGCGAAAACTACAACAAAAGAAAAAGATCCGAATCACTATCACAGGTTCTATGATCGTGGTAGGAATACATTTACTATTAGCAGCTACGGTTGTCTTTCACTTGCATTCCGTTCAACAAATTCATCAATTTCACGTATAACATCAAATTCAATTCGATTTCCATCCAGTTTAAGTATGGTAAGCGTCTAAATAAAAAAGTGTAGGTAAAGACATGATATATATATAAAGAGACTGAGAATTACTGTGTTGTGTTTTAATGCATTAGCTAAATATTGTGCTCCAATATCTCCGATTTCATTCCATCCGAGATTAAGTGTGGTAACTGTCTAGATGAAAACGTACAGGTAAACACATGCTATAGATGGAAATATAATGGCAACTACCGTGTTTTGTCGTAATGCATCAGCTAAATGTTGTGCTCCCACATCTGTAATATAATTTTTCGCAAGATCTAGTGTGGTGAGCGTCTAGATGAAAACATAGAGGTAAACACATAATATAGATGAAAAGAGACTGAGAATTACTGTGTTATGCAGTAATGCATAACCTATATGTTGTGCTCCTGTCGTTCCGATTTTATTCTTCTCGAGATCTAGTGTGATGAGTGTCTTGATGAAAAAAGGGCAGATAAATACACTATATAGATAAAGCGAGAGTGCAAAATTACTGTGTTGTGCTGTATTGCATCTGCCAAATATTGTGCTCCAACATCTCCGATTTCATTCCATCCTAGATTAAGTGTGGTGAGTGTCTAGATGAAAACGTGGAGATAAACACGTGTTATAGATGAAGGGAAGATGATAATTACCCTATTGTGTTGTGCTGCATCAGCCAAATGTCGTGCTCCCACATCTCTGATATAATTCTCTGCAAGATCTAGTGTGGTGAGTGTCTAGATGAAAAAGTGGAGGTCAACGCATCCAAAAGATGTAGAGAGAAAGATAATTACCGTGTTTTGTTGTAATCCACTAGCCAAATGTTGTGCTCCAACATCTGCAATGTAGTTAGATTTGAGACTTAGTGTGGTAAGTGTCTATATGAAAGTGTGTAGGTAAAGACACGATATACATGAAGATAGAGTAACAATTACTATGTTATGTTGTAATGCATCACCCAAATATTGTGCTCCAACATCTTCAATGCTACAATATCCCAGACCAAGTGTCATAAGTGTCTAGATGAAAAAATGGAACTAAACACATGATACAGGTGAAGAGAAAATGAGAATTACTGTGTTGTGTGTTAATGCATTAGCTAAATCTTGTACACCCAAGTCTTCGAAGTTATTCCCTGCGAGATTTAGCATGGTGAGTGTCTAAATGAAAGCGTACAGATGAAGCCACTATATAGATGAAGACAGAATGAGAATTACTATGTTATTCTGTAATGCATCAGCCAAATGTTGTGCTCCCAAATCTCCGATTAGATTTTGTCCGAGTTCTAGTGCAGTGAGTGTCTAGGTGAAAAGCATGAGGCCTTGCAAACGTTTTAACCAGCAGAATTCAGAATTTTGTATACTTATGCTCTATCAATCAATCCATCAAGTACGAGAAAATGAAATAGTGCTAAGAATTATATTTCTTCACCAGAATTTTACATATATGTTACAAAATTCTAAATTCTACCCTGTAACAATTTTGCAACTGCTGAAAAGTGTAGGGAAATACGCGATATATATGAAGACAAAGTGGCAATTACAATGTTACGTTGTATTGCATCAGCCAAATGTTGAGCGCCCAAATCTTCGATTCCATTATTCCTGAGATCTAGTGTGGTAAGTGTCTGCATGAAAAAGTGTAGGTAAAGACACGATATACATAAAGAGAGCGATAATTACTATGTTATGTTGTAATGCATCAGCCAAATATTGTGCTCCTAAATCTCCAATTCCATTCTCCTTGAGATCTAGCGCGGTGAGTGTCTGGATGAAAAAGTGAAGGTGAATACGTGTTACAGATGAAGAGTAGATGACAGTTACCTTGTTGCATTGTAAGACATCGGCCACATGTTGTGTTCCCACATCTCTAATATAATTATTCGCAAGATCTAGTGTGGTGAGTGTCTAGATGAAAAAATGAAGGTAAAAACACGATATAGATAAAGAGAGAAGAAGAGTTACTGTGTTATATTGTAATGCATTACCCAAATATTGTGCTCCAACATTTCCGATTTTATTGCTCGAGAGGCATAATGTGGTTAGTGTCTAGATGGAAAAGTGGCGGTAAAGACATAGTATAGATATAGAGAGAATGGGAGTTACTGTGTTGTGTTGTAATGCATCACCCAAATATTGTGCTCCTAAATCTCCAATTCCATTCTCCCTGAGATCTAGCGCGGTGAGTGTCTGGATGAAAAAGTGAAGGTAAAGACATGCTATAGATGAAGAGAGAATGACAATTACTGTGTTGTGTTTTAATGCATCACACAAATGTTGTACACCAAGATCTCCAATTTCAGTCATCTGGAAATTTAGTGTTGTGAGTGTCTAGATGAAAACATGGGAGTAAAGACACGATATAGATTAAGGAGGAATGGCAATTACTGTATTGTGTCGTAATCCACCAGTTAAATGTTGTGCTCCAGCATGTCCGATAGAAGTAGATTCGATATTTAGGATGTTGATTGTCTAAATAGAAAATTATAGTTGACGAGATGATCTAGACAAAGAAAGAATGATATATAATTACGGTATTGTGTCGTAATATATCACCCAGACGTTCTACTCCAGCATCTCGAATGCAAGTAGATCGAAGATTCAGTGTGGTAAGTGTCTAGATGAAAAAAAGCAAATAAACAGATGTTATAGACGAAGAGATAGAATCGCTAATCGTTATCATCTAAGGTTAAATCAGGGGAATGAATGTTGCTGTGACTCATTTGTAAGATTTATGGAAATGAGTGCGAATATTTCTATGATTTCAGTTGTTGTTGTGTTTAAGAATGTCATATGAAAAGTTAAGTTAACAAGAAGTTACTAAAGGTGATGCATGCGTACCAATTTAGTATGTATTTGTTGCTATAATTCTTATATGTTTGCGAAACAAACGAAGGGTGTGGGTGTGGGTGTGGGTGATATTAATGGATTGAAATGTAGATGCTCTTGTAAATTGATCTTCTCTTCATGCACATCTACAGTCATCTATACTCACGGTCGCCCTTACTTTCAAAGGAATTTCTAGAAAGCTGTTTATAACAAGATAGACTAGTTTATAGACTGAATTTATTTCAGATCCTGATTTTTATTATCGAAATGACATTTTAAGCAAAGTGTTGAGATACACATAAAAACCAGATGGCAATGTTTTATCCCTTTTTTTGTTCTTATCCAAACATTGTATGTTTATCATATCACAAGTAGTTTAAAACTTGGAATATTTAGCCAAGATTAAAAGGATAGAGGAAAAGAAATTCTTTTTTTTCTGATTATCTGGACATTATTTTCATATTGTCACAATAAAAAAATTAATTTAGCGGAGAGATTGATAAATAAAGGGTTATTTTAATGGAAAAAATAGTTCATTCTCGTATATTTCATTGAAATCATTCTAGTTAAACAGTGATTGTAGGAATGAAGAATAATGCGAGAGTCAACAGATCAAAATTAGACTGTCATGATAGAGAAATGTTTACCTGATATCGATGATAACTGTCTACGATGTTGTCAAACCGTTGGCATACGTTTCTCATTGAGAAGAGAATTGTGAAATCTGATTGGTGATCCAAAATTCGGTAGACCAGTTCTACTGGCAACGTCAAGAAGGTAGTGATGGTTTTATTTGCCATTTGTTAAAGGGAGAATCGATCTAACAAATAGAAACTAAAACATCTACTTTATTTTTCAAACGATGCAATATATATACTGAACAAGTCAGAAAAAATCCAATAAAACTAATAAGAGAAAGTATCTGAACACTATCAGAAAAGAACGTTTAAAAAATACAAAAAGATTAAAAAAAAGAAAGGAAAGATCCCATATATGTATGACATCTGAACGATAATAGAGAAAGGAAAAAGTAGTCACCGTTGTAAGGAATCTAACAAAATTAATGGGAAAATATGGAAACCATTGTAGAGGCACGGTGAGTCATGTCATGATGAACCGGTTTAGCGTCAAAAACTAACCGTTAGAAGAAATAAATGTTTAAAATATATAATCTGTTGTTAATGATTATGATTTTATCACACTGTTTTCAACTTTCATACTTTTAATACCAATTCTAAATGTTTAACTTGTTGAAAAGGCTAATTCGTTCTATTTGATGAAAATTTTGTTTGGTGACAAAATAGGGTTACCCTATGCGATACCTCGACTTACCTCATAGACTAGCTCGAAATACTAATTAGTATATAAACGTTTTAGGAATTTCAATTCTTTCACATTTTGACGTATTTTCAATAAAACTTTAATGAAATCAGATTTGCTCTTATTTATTTGGCCAATCGAATTTTTTCCATAATAAAATTCTTTGTGCCTCTACAATGATTTTCATGTTTCCCTTAATTCGTTGGATTACTTTAAACGGTGACCATACATCCTCATCTTTAAAGAGGACTACAATCGAAGATGTTATTAATAAAATTCGAATCGTATTTACAGCTGAGGGATGAGCAAGTGCAAAAATAGGATAAATTTTGTTCTTTATTATTTGATATACGATTTCGTAGAGCTTTCAATATATTTCAAGCGAAAACAAACTGATTTCCATACTAGAAATTATCAGAAATCAAGAAATCAATCATTCCCCCTTATAAGGTACTGAATAGTCGCGAAAAATATCCAAATGTCAAGAAATCCTGGCTGTCTTCCAGCAAAGACTGGTTTTCCATTTTTATAATTCTTTAATACGAAGAGTCCCAACACTACCAAGGCAAGATAATCTAGTACATGGGTATCGTCCATTATGATGCTCAATATGCCAACATATGGAATGTATCTAAAAGTAATACAATGAGAAAGAGAGAAGATAATCAACAGTAGAAAAAAGAATGTACCCTTTCACTTTACCGACAATATCCTTCTTTTCAAGCCACACTTGCCCTGGTGCATACAGACCGCGATCATCCATCTGATCGAAATCTCCTTTCGTCAAAAATTTAACATAACTATCCTCACTAAAAATAACAGTAAAACAGGGAGTATTGATCTTTTAACAGAAAACAGAGGTTAACTCACTTTTCATGCACACGAATCACTCGATGAAAAATGAAAAGATCATGACGTTGAATTCGAAATACAACAATATCACCTGCACGGATGGATTCTGAACAGTAGTTAGTCAGCAAAAAAATGTTACCACGAGCATAAACAACCGAATCTATACCGCTGCTAGTTAACATAATAGTATGTTCATTTTTATTGACTAGGTAGAGATAACAAACCTTAGCAAGACTACAACAGGATTTGGAGTGTTAGTTAACACCATCAGGCTTTTCCAAACTATGATAATTGTTGAACTAATCAGCGTACATCGTAAAACTTGTTTGATATTCTATGTATGAAGACAATAATGCAATCTAAACTTACGACAGGGAACATTGAAGATTATATAATTACCTCTCGCCATTGATGCATCTTCTTCGTCTAATAAACTCTCGCGTAGCGCAAAAGTTGAGAGAACAAATGCGCTTAACTCAATGTTGTCAACATGTAAAAATGGTACCTGATATTTACATATGACATCCGTTGGCACACTATTCCAAATAGATCAAAAAAGTTAGTCATCCTATGATCATGTCAAATATTCAATGGTTCATATAAAAGATCAATCTCATTTTTATTGCATATTGTCAATCAACAGCAATTTAGAGATGTCGCTAAAAATAAGAAGCAAATCATTTGTACTTTGTTGCAAGATAAATATTACATATCGTTTTCGAGAAATAATTTATTGAATTACATATGCTGAGAAAATGGCGATAGAGCTTATTCGAATAATGAAGAAACTAGTATTTTATATACATATAATATTCATATTCACACCCACACTCAAGATTTAGAAGGGCACATTAGTCTTAGAACACTGTATGTTGCCGTTATGAAAAATGTGATGTCTATACTTGAGATTTGGATGTAAACCACGGTAACTGATGAGCACCTCATTCACGCCTACTCAGACCATCCTCAGGTGTGTTTCACGTTATTGCGGAGCTGCTAGACCAGTAATGGCATTTGTATGTTCTCGCTCTGATCGTTTGGTTTCTTGGCGAAAGGGTTTTGATATGACTACGTACAAATAGAACTTAATGCAATAATTTAGATAAAATAAGACAGTAAGTGCGAGAAAACTAATGAACGCTTCAATCTGAATGCGATCTCGACTCTTATTGGGCACATTACTTGCCAGCACAGTGTATAATAAATTGACTGGAGATAAAATATTGAGAAGAATACCGATCGAGACTTCAGCAAAGGCAAGTTTCAGCAAGTTCATATCACGTTTCTGTAAAATATGTTGTGGTGCATTGCTTGTTCCTCGAAGAGGTTGAACACGAGTACGAATCGCTTTCAAATTCTTCAAAATGAGAACGTTGAAAAGAATCGCGAGACCCGGTATAATAACTCCAAAAATACAGATCTGATCGATACTGAAAAAGAGTCCATATGTTCCAAAAACGCTGCATCGATTATTTTCGATGACCTCAAAAATCGGTAAATGGATTGAGATAAGCATACAGAAAATAGTGGCACCACAGATCACTTTCAACGCCATTTTTGATGTACTGAACTTACGAGTGGAGGCGCGAATCGAACTTATTGCATACCGATCTGCACATGCTATTACAGTTAAAGTGCGATAAAGAACCGAAAATGTTTGTAAGATGTAACCTCGAATTCGACAGAGAGCGAGCGACATGATGAACGGATCTGGTGGTTGATAGAAAGCATAGATATTAGTGCCGAGTCCCCAATTAACACCCATGAGGGCGAAGACAGCAGCAGCAAGCAGATACATCGAACAGGGACTACGTCGATGATTTTTTTGACTGAAGACAGCAATGCAAATCAGATTACCAAAGTTGCCCAATACCAGCAAAGCAGGAAGGACATAGCGAGTAATTGTTTGTTGTACAGTGATGAGAATATCAGCAATCGAAGACATCACGTAGAGTAAGTAAAGATCGTTGTCTGTAATGATAAAATAAATCATCAATATGAAATCGAAAAATAAACAACTAAGTTCTCAAGCATCACTAAGAGGAAGAAGAAGATATCTAATAATGAATACTATTAAGATTGATAAAATCTGATTATCATTCTTCACAATACGCGATACATGTCCATCTATGTCAACAACACGCACTAGTCTTTTTACGCATCGTTCGTATTGTGTTCTTCCTTACGAAGTTCTACTAGCTGTTTTTCTCCGAGAACTAGAAAAGCTTCGAAATGTTATCGAGTTAAGAGATTAACAAATATGTAGGTAATATCTTATTTGAATTCTAAACAGTGTTATTAAAGTCGATGCATACTACATTTTTCTGTTTTGTGCGAATAAAAAAGAAGTTAATACAAAAGCATATTTAGCACTGACAAAAGTTTTGTACTTTTAACATATTCTTATAATATTTTTTAATAAATGTTGACGACTAGATCATTTTTGCAAAGTAATACATGCATCTGATTTAAGGATACATATTTTAATTTTTTATATTATATCAACTTTTATTTCTAGACGAGATAATTGCTTGTTCTTCGATATATATGTTTTCATGGTTTAAGGTTCATTTTATTTAATAATTATCAATTCTACGTCATTCCTTTTCTTACTTCTAAGTTAGCAAACACATTAGTAGAAGTATCCATAAGTATATATTTGTTTAGTCTTAAATATCGAATAAGTAACAAAAAAGGGTGTGGGTGTGGTTATGGATACACTAATATAACAACTATCAACGTCACAGTTATACCTACATGCATACCTTCAAGAAGTCGTCATAAATGATCTTTGTTGGATGGACACTTCCTTTAGACCAAATGAGAATTTGTTTCTTTTGCTCATTTAGTGCATAGATTGTATTATTTGCATTGAAAAATAATTATGTTAGGCAATGAACCAATGATTGTATTATCAGCAAAAGTTAATCAATTTAAATTCCAAGTTGCCGATGGACAGAATTTCAGTTGATTGTATGAAAGAACTTAAAAGAAAAAGATATATATAAAACGTTTTTTTCTGCTTTTTAACAATTGAAATTTTATCATTTTCTGCTTTTCGAACGGCAAAAGGTGGCAACATTGCTCACACCCACCTTTAGTTTTTATTTATTAAGTAAAGTTTTTAACAAAGTCATCAGCATTCCTCTTTACTGACAAATGTTAACTTTCAGTATTTTCTCTTCGACGTTTTTCCTTCCTTCTTTTTTCCATCCATTCTTAGGAAACGTTCGTTAACATCCAAAAAGGAAAATAAAAGTTTTCAACTGAGATTGTACGGAAAACACAACAACAAACAAAAGCAAATAATATAACAAAAAATAAGGATAAAAGAATGATTGAATAAAATAAATAAAATAAAATGAATATGAATAAAATTTTATGTAGCACTCTGTTCCTCGACTATGGTTAAAAAGATTGAAAGACAAATAGAAGCAAAAGGCATACAAAAATTTCACTCGTAGAAGCATTAATACAATACAGAATAAAAAGAGAAAGTATTCTTGACAAATCTTTTTTTCATTATCACCATTTCATAAGGACGAGTCGTAAAACTGCAGAAAATCCGTTTCTCGGTTATGGACTACATTGAGCAAAGTTTGCTGAAACGTAAGCCCAATTCTTTGCTTTGTAAGCATTTATAACGTCTATGCATGTGTTACAGCAGTTAGATGAGGCACCATAACAGTAACCACAAACTAATCATCAAATAAAAGATAAATACATGATACGAAATGTCTCTAAATTAGAAATTAGAAATGAAAGTGATTCGTATTCTTTTCAAACTAAACTAATCAAATCCTAAGTAGAGTGAAGCTCAATAACTTTTTTAAACTTTCAAACTAAATCGAGACAGAAAATTCAGATTTATCATACTTCAATAATGATACAACGGGAAGATGACGTTTTGTACTATCTCGCCATTCCGAACTTCCGACAAAAACATTATTTAAAGTTTTCGTCACGGATGTCGGAATGAGAAGATTGAACTAAATACGTAGGGTATGAGATGTGTGTGGATGTGGGTATCTATGTTCTCTTGATTCACACCCTCATTCTTTGAGTCACTACCCAGCAGTGATGCCAACTGTCATAGTCAGAAAACCGCAATTCTAATGTGAAAATCCGGAAAATTCCGGAAACTTTTTTTGTTAAATCCGGAAAGGTTTTTAATAGTTAGTTTCTATCGGCTGAAATCAGTTTCTCTAAATCTTTTTCTCAATTGTAACACTTATTATTTCAAAAAACACATGTTGCAATATATCAAAAGAAAATCAACATCAAAAATCGAACTATAATAAAATAAATATATAAGTATGAGCCACTGAGCCGTTGTCAAATAAAATTTTTTTTTGAGTATTAACAGATAAATATAATTTAGTTCAATAAAAATAATCTAGAATCCGGAAAAATTTCGGAAAAGTTGACAACACTGGTGATGAACAGAACCGTGTAGCCTTTTTTGAACACTTTTTAATACTCTCAAGTCTAACTGAAATAATCTTTTGTTCCATTCTATGGCTCTCCAGGATGTGGGCGTGGGTATTACATTAACTTTACTCGGACACCCATACCCACAACTAATGCATAGTATTGATAAAAGTACAATATAGTCTTTGATAGTCTGACAAAGTTTTACTTATCAGTTTACAGGGCGACTTCTTAGTTTAGTCGATCTATATAGAAGAATAAAACAATCAAGTCTAGAGAATCACGAGACGTTATAAAACGTCAACTAGTACCTTCAGTTGCTCTAGATACAATAACAAACATTCTCAAAACATACTTTGCACATTAGAATAAGCATTCTTATGTACTGAAAAACGACAACAACACAATGAATTGTCAGATATTTAAAAAAAACTCTATCGGGCAAATATTAATTCATATTGTCTTCAGCTTCGTACACAGATACTAGCTTGCCTGTATAGAAAGATCATTTTTTCATCTTGAGAACTTTTCTATCCAATAAACTCGTCTGATTTATTCGGATCTGAGATGATTCGAGGCATCAAGCACTGAATTTTTAAAGTTCGTGATACTATTTCTTTTTTTAACAACCGACGTAAGCATTACGTATTTAATCCAGCACTCACCAGTTGTTGTTGATGACGTTGTTGTTGTTGTTGAAGTCGTTTTTGATGTTGTTGTTGTTGAAGTTGTTTTTGATGTTGTTGTTGTTGAAGTTGAAGTCGTTTTTGATGTTGATGATGATGATGATGTTGTTGTTGTTGTTGTTGTTGATGATGATGATGATGTTGTTGTTGTTGTTGTTGTTGTTGTTGTTGTTGTCGTTGTTGTTGATGATGACGATGATGTTGTTGTTGAAGTCGTTTTTGACGTTGTTGTTGTTGAAGTTGAAGTCGTTTTTGATGTTGTTGATGATGATGATGTTGTCGATGTTGATGATGGTGATGTTGATGCTGGTGTTGTTAATGATATTGCTGTTGATGATGATGTACTCGACTCTGTTTCGAAAAAATGAGATTAACGTAGTGCCATAAGAACATTAAATAAGGTTTTGTTAACAATCTAGCACTTCTCGGTTCACTGATTGGGACAATTTTTTGTGGATAATCCCATTCGGAGGATAGATACTAATGATTGGCGAACACTAAAAATTACAGTCAATGGAAAAAATCATTGATAGGGGCAAATTATTTTAGAATTTAAAAATCATAAACATCAAATTTATTCAAATTACTGAAATTTGGATTTATAAATAGTTATGATATTTCTGTAGTCTTGCAAAATGAAAACTTACGATATTCTAGAATATTTAATATTGTTATTGACGATTGATTAAGAAATATAAAAGTTGAATTTAAATAAAATTCAACAAAAATTGTACTAGTATTCGAACGAAATAATTGACAAGTTTGATTTGTTGAAAAATAATTCAAAGCAAATATTAAATCATTTACTTTTATCATTTCACAAATGCATTGATCTTCTGTTACATTGAATAAGTTATTATACATATTACCAACTATTATAATATTTTGTATTTTAGTAATTAGAATAGAATTATAAACAGAAAATAACGATAAAATAAATATTACCCAAAACATGTTGTACTTCTTTACATTCTAAAATATTTTATGACTATTCTTTTTCTCTAATTTAATAATTATTCATTCCCGGAAAAAAGCGCCATACGTTTTGCAACATGTCTTTTTCCTAACAAAAATGATACATCCATAACTACATTATGTTGTTGTTGTTTCTTTAACTACTTAGAGGATTGAAATAGTCACCATCAAGATATTAACAAAAGAAAAAAAATATGTATGAACATACTCTCCCTGAGAGTATGCTACTTTTAACTAAATTGTCCTTTTAACATCTTTATAAAATATCAGGAAAGACAGAAAAAAAAGTCGTGATATCAACAAATGACGTTTTCTATATGCTCAATAAACACATTTCGTCGATGAGACACAATTGCGTCTGCTTATTTCATATATAGTCAACGTAGGTGTTGACAACAATAGGAATAAACACATATTGTATTGATTTTGTCAATGACGTCGAGTATTATCTTATTTATGATATTGTAAATAAAAACTACTATAATTAAATACTTTTCTCTTGTATATTAATGTAGTTTCACTATCTTCTCTAATGAAGGATATTGAAATAGATAGTCAGGATTGTTGATGCCAACTGTCATATAGTGGCGTAGCCAGGATTTGATCGGTGGCCTGGCAATGCCTTACAAAATTTCTAAAACCTACCATATCCGTAGGGGTATCGCGATCGGAGGGGGGGTGGGGGCGGTATTCATCCGAATCTTTGGAAATTTTGTTTTTTTTGCTCACCATTTTTTAAAAATTATAAAGAAATTTCCAAAAATTCTGGACGAGTTTTTGAGAAAGTCTTTGGAAATTTCCCGAAGTCTTCGAACGGATTCCGATAATTTAGAGAAATTTTGCAAACGTTTTCGAAAATCGCTAAAAACTTACAAAAACCTTCAGAGATTTTCAAAAAATCTCTAGTTTTTTTAAAAATTTTGGTAGTTTGCAGAAGTTTCTGAAGTATTTTCGAAATTTTTCGACCTCCCCCAATCTTTAACATTGCGACAGCCCTGCGTATCACTTGATAATTTTCTGATGAGTCAAAATCAATTTGTGATCTTTCTGTGTTTTAAAAAAAGATTAATTTAACGCGAAACAAAGGATCTACTGAGTGAGGTCGACGCATGGGGCACTACGCCTCTTTGCTCTGGGAAAATTTTAGTTTTTCTTTGATCGATAAAATTAAAAAAAGGGTTTTTACACGGTTTTTTGCGTTAGATTTGAGCAAAAAGGGTGCTGCGCCTTCCTCCTTTTAAAACTTGAAATGTTGAGCGTTTACGCCCCTGCCTATTGACTTGTTCAATTATTTATAGTATTCTTCAGATATCACTCATGATCAGAGATATAGTCTTATGTAACTTCATCGACAGTATAAAAAAAATAAAATACCTAGTAAAATTTTTCTCGGTGGCCTGGCAAAAAGTACCGGTGGCCTGGCAGTGCCAGGCCATGCCAGGCCTTGGATACGCCACTACTGTCATAGTCAGAAAACCGGAGTTCTAATGTGAAAATCCAGAAAGGTTTTTAACAGTTAATTTCTATCGGCTAAAACCAGTTTCTCTAAATCTTGTTCATAATTATACCGCTTACTATTTCAAAAAACACATGTTTCAATATATCAAAAGAAAATCAACATCAAAATTCAGAATATAATAAGGGTGTGGGTGTGGGTGTGGGTGTGGGTGTGGGTGTGGGTGTTACGTGGGTTTAAGTGTGGAATGAACAGAGTACCGTCATCGACACCCACACCCACCCATACACTCAATATCAATATTTTGAACTAACAGTGCGGACTACTTTTTAGTGAGAGGACATTTCTGAAAGAAAATTTTCTCAAGGACATTCTTGACTGTATTCATCGAGTTAAAAGATTAACAAATATGTGGGTAATATCTTATTTGAATTCTAAATAATGTTATTAAAGTCGATGCATACTACATTTTTCTGTTTTGTGAGAATAAAAAAGAAGTTAATACAAAGGCACATTTAGTACTGACGACTAACATATCAATATTGAACTGATAAACGTGTTCTACTTTCATTTTATTCTTATAATATTTTTTAATAAATGTTGATGGTAAGATAATTTTTCCAACGTAATACATACAGTTGCCTTAAGGATACATGTTTGAATTTTTTACATTATATCAACTTTTATTACTGGACGAAATAATTGCTTGTTCTTCGATATATATGTTTTCATGGTTTAAAGCTCATTTTTTATTTCATAATTAACAATTCTACGTCATTCCTTTTCCTTCTTTTAAGTTAACAAACAATCCTAGTAGAAGTATCCATATAAGTATATATTTCTTTAGTTTTAAATATCAAATTAGTAGGATGTGGGTGTGAATATCAAGTTAATCATCCATCTACCCACACTCCACAACCAAAACAAACTATTTTATAAGTGAAAGTTGAATATATTGAAATGAACATCTTAAAATTCTTTTCAACGATCAAAAAATATAAACTAAAACAAAGTTTGAAAGTGGATCGTTCAGGGATGTGAGTATCCATCATCTCATAAGCCACCCACACCCTTACATTCACCTATCTAGAAATTATGGAATATATCAGGATCAGGTACAAAATAGATTTTCTAGTCGATGTATTTGTTCATTCGCTTCTATACAAAATATATTGTTCAAATAAATTGTGTTTTCTCTGTTAGAAAACGTTGCATTTTCTTCTATGAGTGACTATTTTCAATGTTTTTCTTTCATATCCTTCCTCCAGAATTTTAATATCATGAATATTTATTTTATTTACAGCAGATTATAACTGGCATCTGGTAGACTTTTGTTCATAAATCAATTTTGAAAAAGGAAGCGAATTCATTGCTCTTATTTACCGATCATTTTTAATGTTGTGTTTTGTTGCAGATGTTTCAATAAAAATACTTTACTTTGATATTATTCTGTACAAAAAAACTTATTATTTTCATGATTATTAATTTGCAGTAGTATAATGAAGTATTTTCTGTCACTTTAACGATTTTGTAGTCAGTTACTTGATACTAGCACTGCAAAACAACTTCTTCTTCTTGGTTGATTGGATTTGGGTATGGGTTAGTATAACGTAATGCTATGTGAATAATGGAAAAAAAAGATTTTTCATCTTCTATGGACGAAAATAAATTCTAACGCCTTTTTTTAAATATTTCTTCAGTTTTGGCAAAACTATTTACAACTATTCCGAAAAATTTTACAAACATATTTCTATATTAATAATTTTCTCTCAATTAATTCCTAAACAAAGTATTTTTCATTGTTTTAGCTTTGCTCAATATTTCTTCATATTTTTCAACTAATCTTTTGTTCTCAAGTATTATTTTATCATCATATTTATTGAAGATATGTTTTATTTTGATATCATCTGTTTTTATTTGATATTTTAGATTATTGATTTTGATAAACTATTAGTTCAATTTCACACATGCACAAAACATTCATTATGAGTCGAAATAAAATAGGAGCTTGTGATGTAATAGATTTATTAAATAATGTTTGATTTTAATGAATTATTTTAGTCTGAACCAGTTACGTCAGATTCTCAACTAACATCAACTGATCGACCAACATTGTTGTATGTGTTTTGTGAATTGTTGAAATTCATAATTAAAAGAATT